AAGCTCATACGATTATTCTTGATATTAAAAATGCTTCAGGGAGGAAAATGCCAACTTGGCAAGGAAACCTCAACTGGGGAGAAGAACAAAAGAGAACTTAGAAAAAGGAATACCCTTGGGATTGCGTCATCGAAAGCTTCCATGTCGTTTCTCAAAACGGCAACCAGAGCGCTGATTTCATAGTAATCTCTGAAAAATCAATGAAGAACTACTGCACCAAATCTTCGCTACTCTGAAATCAAGAGTCTTCATAAAAGTGAATCATGGATCACCTCAATAGTTTCCTGAGCAATTTTGGTATTGTAAGATGAAAACAACAAGATTAAAAAGAACAAACTTGTAAATGGTTGTAAGCGCTTTCGCATCGAGAGAACCAGTAGCTGCTTGGTCAAATAACGCTTCCTAAATTCAAAACTATAGCTATTTCGGGGCAATAACTCCAAAGAAGTAAACAACAAATTGCAGCTGAAAAATTTTCGGAGCATTCGATAGAAATAGATGGCGCAATGTGGCTCGGGGGGGGCACCTCGCAACATCGCGTCAAAATCACGGAAACGCTCCGTTTTAGGACTAAGCTTTTGAAGAGGAGAGGAACTCCGGTGTACGGAAGCAATTTTCGTATTCTCCGGAGTTCGTCCCTGCTGTTTAGGCTTAGTCCTAGATGACTTTTCTCAGAGTGCCCCCCCCCCGAGCCACATTGCGCCTAGAGCACAATAGGCTTCACTTGGATACCATGGTTTACACTCTGTTTGTATAGTATTCAACAATTGAATGATATTACAATACCTTTTGCCAGAGTTGCTTTCAATAAACATTCAGAGGTGGTGGTCCATCAACTATTGCGGACTGCCTTTATGTGAGCATCTCCCTAGGTTCTTGCCGCCTTTTATCAGTACCCAATAATTCATCTTTAATTTTGGCAGCGTACATGACATTTTTTACACGAAAGGAGTTAACCATCACGTTGCAACTTAGGCTGTGCTGAAAAAAAAACAAAACATAGTTATCCTTTTCTGTGTGGCGGCATGCTGTACATGGTGCATACGCGGTCCACAATGAGGTTAAAATGTTGCCCGGGGCCTGCCCCTAACATTGTGTTATTTATGAAAACAGTTTTAGGACTAAGCCTTCGAGGAGAAAGGTGGTGTGGTACAGAGACCGACTTTTTCGCGTTTGGCGCTGCGAAGCACGAAAAAGTAGCTGTCTGGGCTAGTGAACCACACGCGGAGAAAGGATCCAAGTACGCAAGCAATTCCCATTCTCTCCGGAATTCGACCCACTCCGTTAGGCTTATTCCAACAGCAACGAGTGACATTTCTTAATGTCACTCGTTGCTGTTGGAATAAGCCTGACATTTACACGCCGATAAAACTACAAATAGATTATCGGCCCTTCTATAAACTGGTTTCTTCGCAGGCACACTGCACAAAATGTTTCCAAAATAAAAGGTTGGGTTATTGAGAATGAAACGAACCCCAATTTGTTTCAGCACTTGTTCGATTGTATTTGTATTCTTCTGCTCCTTACTCCACTCTGCTAATAACGTCTTGTGCATTTGAGACAAAGAGACCACCATAACGACCTTTCAGAATGTATCCGAATCTGAAAATATGAAATGCAAACATTCAAAAAGGACAACACTGAAGAAAGGACCTGCCAAACAATGCTACGGAACGATGAAAAAGCAAAATACGATGACGTTAGTAGCGCGCGAAAGTTTGATTAGAGCACCGAATTCGCAGGGTATTTTCCAGCGCATTGGCTATGAATTCGAAGCTGCACACACTGTTTTGAACTCGGACGGACGCGGTACTGAAGACTTTTCAGCTGAGAATTGGCAGGAAGAAGAAGTTGAAAGAGATATTTTCCCCATTCGCGATACGACCACGGTGAAAATCGTGTCAAGGATGAGGTCACCTCAGGACGACCCCCCCTCACATCGGGGTCTTGATACGACCCCTCTAACTTTGATTTGATTAATATTAATAAGCAAATTAGATAGAGCTGGATTTGCTACTACCGGGCAATATTGAAATTGATCTAAAAGCTTTACACTCGAGGAGATAGGGTCTCTCAAATTTTGTCGAGCAGCGTCGAGGATCCCGAATTTTTCATGCGAGTTTTTGCCACTTAAAAGGCAATATCTCTTGCGACAAGTACCATCGAGGGATTGTATTTGGTCGAGCTTGTAGGTGGATCGTACTCTCTCGGAGGCTGGCAGTGGGATCCTTGAT